ATTGTAAGAATATAAATGAACTACCCACATTTTATAGTAATTTATATTTAAGATATTTGCTTGATTTTGTATAAAATTATGTTCTTGAACACACAACTGCAGCCTGTGAAGGAGGCAAAGCCATTTCTGATTGAGGAAAAGACTGTGCAAGGACCTTAAGGGCCTGGTGCATTTGGGGAACACTGAGAGGTTCACTGTGGCTGGAGCACAGTGTGCTGTGGGTTAGGGGAGGTGAGGGATAAAGAGATGTGGCTCAAGGTGAAAATACAGAGGCTATCCTAGGCATCATAGACTATCCTACCACCCTTTTGTTCTTTCAAGTAAATCAACTTACTTTATATCTGTGTGGTTACTACAGTTACTGTAAAGTTTCTTATTTTTGTTTTTTTTTGGTGAGACAGAGTCTTGCTCTGTCACCCAGGCTGGAGTGCGGTGGCACGATCTCGGCTCACTGCAACCTCCGCCTCCCAGGTTCAAGCGATTCTCCTGAGTAGCTGGGATTGCAGGCGTGCACCACCGCGCCCAGCTACTTTTTGTATTTTCAGTAGAGACAGGGTTTCACCATGTTGGCCAGGCTGGTCATGAACTCCTGAGCTCATGATCCACCCACGTCAGCCTCCCAGAGTGCTGAGATTACAGGTGTGAGCCACCACGCCTGGCCAGTTACTGTAGAGTCTTTTAAATGAAACTTTTTTTTTTTTTTAATTGAAGCAGAGCCTTGCTCTGTCACCCAGGCCGGAGTGTAGTGGCCCAATCTTGGCTCACTGCAACCTCTGCCTCCCAGGTTCAAGCTATTCTCCTGCCTCAGCCTCCCGAGTAGCTGGGATTACAGGTGCGCCACCATGCCTGACTAATTTTTGTATTTTTAGTAGAGATGGAGTTTCACCTTGTTGGCCAGGCTTGACTCAAACTCCTGGCCCCAAGTGATTGGCCCACTTTGGCCTCCGAAAGTGCTGGGATTACAGGTGTGAGCCACCACGCCCGGCTAGTTACTGTAAAGTCTTTTGCATGATAACTATTGTTTTGGAGAACTGCTATATCATGGTATATCAATTTATAATATGCAATATATCATAACATATAATTAGCTTAACTATATATAATTATAATAATTGTAAGAATATAAATGAACTACCCACATTTTATAGTAATTTATATTTAAGATATTTGCTTGATTTTGTATAAAATTATGTTCTTGAACACACATACAAATGCACAGTTACAGATACATACAGCATTCTCCTGTAGGTAGCAAAAGAGTGTGTTTGTTGCAGATATATATTATATATTATATATTATACATGTATATTATATATATTTATATATATTTTTATATATATATACACACACATACACATACACACAGTTTTTTTACCTTAGGTTGGCGAGAAAGAGATGCCCACTGACTCAGACAATATGCCAGTTGCTAAAAAATGAAATGAAGAAAACAAATAAAAGGGATGAGGGGGATGAAGACAGATTGATTAATGGGTAATCAAATACAATTAGATAGAAGAAACAAGGCCTGGTGTTTGATAATTCAGTAGAGTAACTATACTAAACCATAATCTATTGGATATTTCAAAGTAGCTAATAGAGAATAATTTGAATGCTCCCAGCATAAAGAAAATGTAAATGTTTAGGGTAAATGTTTAATATCCATTGATACTCCAATTCCCCCAACTTGGTTATAACATACTATATTAAAGTATCAGAATATCACATGTACCTTGAAAATGTGTACATTGATTATGCATTTAAAATTTAAACAATGAATCAAAGATAAGTATAAATTCTTCAGTCAGCAGAATTTTATTACAACAGATTTAAAATACTAAAATTGTCCTATTTCTGAACCTCACATTATCTTCTCACACAGTGGCAGTGAATTTCAACACAACCCTCAGGATGCCCTAAATGAGGCCATGAAAAATGGCAACAGTGAGTTTCTGCTGCAGCCAAAAATCTGATCTCAAAATAGTTTTAAGTGAACATTATACACATGATGTATTCAAGGTCCAGACTAAATAAAAATCTCACATTACTGAATAATTGGGTACCTCAAGCTGCACAATATCCAAGCCATCTGGAGGATCAGCTAAAGGTTGGGGAAATCCTATTGTGAGAAATCATAAAATTATTAATTAGAGAAAAGAGGTCATAGCATTTACTTCAAAGTCTTTACCATGAGAAACAGACAGTTTCTATTAAAGTAATAAACCACCAAAGAACCATACAAAAGAGGTCAGTGGGAAAATAAGATTTGATCTGATGTTGTTAAAAGGATTTACAAAGAAAATACACTTCTACTTGCCACTAGAATATACAAAGATTAATTTAAAATAGCATGGTTGTTAATTTACCATGAGTGTTCGGTACAACTGTTAGCAACTCAGCAAAGAGGAGGAAAAAAATCCCAAGGTAACAACTTAGTTTGTATTTTGATAGACTTCATAAGGATGGCATATTAGAAAATGGTGTCAACAAAGGATGGACATCAGAATCACCCTTGAACTTTGAAGACACATGGATACCCATCCCTCTGCTGCTACAGACTCTCTAGGGATGGGTTCTGGGGAAGGCTGCTGGCATGCAGCTGGACCCTGTCAACCTTTTGTCTAACTTCAATGAACTCCTCTTCTCATTTGCTTGTGATACAACACTTGGTGGGATAACTATAGTGCAGTTGAAAGAATCAACTGGATAGGTCAAAACTAACAAGATGAAATTAGGCGGATAAACATAAAACCTGGCACTTAGATTTTTAACGTGTGGAACAGGGAATGTATGACTCAAGAGCAGTTTATGTGTAAAAACAAGACAAAAGAAAACTGAGTGGTATTTTGTCCCCTGCATTCTCTCTGAGGCAAGATAAAGCTAAGGCAATGTTATGTTATATTCAAATAACAGGGCCTAAACCTTAAAAGGTAATAGTCTGACTTGAAATGGTAAGATACAAGGTAAAGTCGCTAAGCATAGTTTTCTCTGGAAACAGGAATATTAGGAAGTATATGTTAACTGCTTTCAACTATTTTGAGAACTGCAATAAGTAAGAGATATTAGTCTTATCCTGTGTTTCCCCCAAATAACAGAATAAAGGCTGATGGTTAGAAAGTTACATGTGATCACACTTAAGCTTAGCGTAAAGAAGTTTTTGACAATCGGAATCATTCCACAATGCAAAGTAATGCAAAGGAATCCTAAAAGGATTTATGGAGAGGTTCTTTGTTAATAAAACGTAAAGACCTGCCCGCAGGAAACATAAAGTCAAATAGGAAAAAATAGGGAGGTGAGTATAAACATAGAGAAAGATAAATAAAAGGTAATAACAGATTTACAAAAGTATAATATAAACAGGACTCTACTGGAGCAAAGAGGCAGCACCTAGCTGTCTTCGCTGGCAGTGAGTTGGGGTCATTGAAAGTACTTAAATAGAATCGGGAAGTTACAGAAGGGATCCCTGCACCCTGTCAGAGGTTAAACCAGATGACCTTCATGGTCCTTTGCAAGGCCCAGTTTTGTGATTACATTGTAGGACATGACAAAGCGAACATACTGTTTGAAATATATTTTCTCTGTTAATATATTTCCAAAGATGTTCTACTCCCCTAAGTCAAAATTCTAATGGAAAAATCTAAAATGGTATGTGTTTCCAATCTTAGTTGTTCTGCTACCACCCACTTCCCTGCATCCTATGAAGATGGTGGTAAGATTCCAACCACAGACCCTCACTCCATCCCTGTTCCCTAGAAGCTGGTTCTCAAGAGTTGGTGAGGCGATGCCAGCGCCTGGTCAGCACCGCGGACAGCTCACCGGCCCCGGGAGGTAGCTGCTTCCACCAAACTCTGGACCCCTGCCTCTCTAAAACCCAAGGGAAAGGCTTGGAAAAAGACTCCTTTTTCCACTGTGCGCTCCTCCCGCGCCCGTCTCGAACTGCCCATCAATTCCCATTCTTTGGGGCTGTAAGCTCAGTTTTACCAACTCTGTCCTCGTCTCTTCAGAATCCAGGGAGCAGAAATGGCTACAAGAGGTGTCTTCCCCTAACTTCTACCAGGTCGTGCCTCACCCTTCAGTTTTAGCGGCATATGCTCAGGACATCCCTGGGGCAGGAGCAGCTTAAAGACAGTCCCACAGGGAAAAGTCTCCTTTGGTAAAAGGCTGCAGCATCTCGCTCTGTCCATCCTCTCCTAAAGGTTCGAAACAAATTGCAGCCAGAAATCAAGAAGGTAGTAATGAGGGCTGGCGGGGGAGAATAAAGCTTGACTCCTTCCAGAACTGCCCTGGGGGATCAAGGTCTGCCTCAGTCATCCTCAGAATTCAGGCCAGATGGAGTCTGATGAAACTCCCCTTACCTGAGGAGGGAATCTGTAGCATGCAGAAGCAGTAGATGACCAAGATGAGAGGGAACTGGGGACGAAGAGGTTTCATTGTTAGAGTCTGGTTTCTCCTTGCTGGCCACAGACGGATGCTGCTAGGACAAGAGCTGCGCATTTCCCCAAGGTCCACAGGCAGAGGCAACCCTCTGTCCTGCATCTGATCAGCCCAGCAAAGAAAGTGCCTTTATTTGCAGCGCCCGGGAGCCCATTTGCTGATCACCAATCAGCTTTGCACAGGAGGAACCCGGCTTTCTCATAAATGTCACGCTGGGCCCTTATTTGTAGAATAATATCCTTCTGGAGTAGGCATTGTAGAGAGTCCTCTTTTACAACCCAGCAATGAAAATAAAAGGTGGAGAGTCCTGATTGTTACTCTATAACGATCTGAGAAATATTTCTGACTCAAGAAGGGCTTTTTCTCTTTTTAATAAAAAATTGGACACAAATCTATAAATTATTGCGTGATAAAGTCTTGTTTCCTATGAAGCTGTTTATTTTCCACCATTAACAAAGGATGTTGTGTCATCTTGGTGCATTTAAGAAGGACAAAATTTGGAGTCTTGAGTATAATATTTTAAAAAATCTAAAGTTCAATTGGGGCTCTGTTTGTTTGTTTTTTAGATCATGGCTGAAAATTAGCCTCTTTAAGGTCTTTCCAGATTCATTTTAAGGAACAAGTTAAGGATTTCAAATTGTTAGCACTCAGGAAAACATGACAATGTTTAATAATCCTAAATAACTTCATCCACCGAGCTTCTACATGTTGGGATCTGTTTTAGGCATTTCACATAGGTTATTTCATGTAATTCTCACAGAAAATCTATTAGGAATGTCTTATTACTCTAATTTTGTGAATGAGGAAACAGATGCTAGGAAAGATTAAGAAACTTGTCCAAGATCATCCAGCTATCAAGGATGAGAGAAGAAATTTGGACTCAAAGGTACCTGAGCCCAGTCACTTCTGTAAGAATATGGAATTCTAATTGATAAGTAATTTTTTAAGTGTGCATCCATCCTTGGGATTAGATATGAGATAGAAAGAAGCAGGAGAAAGACTGAAGTCTTCTATTTCTTGCAAAAAGGGCAACATATATAGTATAAATGAAACAAATATCTTTTGTTTTTTTTCATTATGCATATCTTTAATTTTCTTTCTTTCTTTCTTTTTTTTTTCTGAGATGGAGTCTCACTGTGTCGCTCAGGCTAGAGTGCAGTGGTGAGATCTTGGCTCACTGCAACCTCTGCCTCCTGAGTTCAAGCAATTCTCCTGCCTCAGCCTCCTGAGTAGCGGGGATTACAGGCACCTGCCACCAGCTAGTTAGTCCAGCTAATTTTTTAATTTTTAGTAGAGACCAGGTCTCACCATGCTGGTCAGGCTGGTCTCAAACTCCTGACCTCGTGATCTGCCCACCTCAGCCTCTCAAAGTGTTGGGATTACAGGCGTGAGCCATCGCACCTGGCTGCATATCTTTAATTTTTGCTGTTTTAGAGATTAGGTGGTTACAAATAACTGCTGGATGTTTACACATGGCTCAAACATGTTAATACTTCACCTAAGTCATAATATATAATTGTTTTAATGAATGAGCTTTTAAAGAATAATTTTGAGTGGGAGTTGCTCAGAAGGAGCTGTTTAGTTTTGACTTAAAATGTGGCATTTTGTCAAAAAATTTTCAATTCATAACAGGCTGATAATTATAAACTACCTTATAGCCATAATATTTTGCCTTTGAGCCAGTAAGAAATAGAGATTTCTATTTGCCACAGTATTTACCACTTTGGTTCTAGGAGACCAACCCAAGGTCTTTAAATACCAAGCAGCGATTATGCCATTTACATTAAAATCCACCCACTTCCTAACAGCAAGTCTTTACTGAATGAAAGGGAAAACATGAATACATGCTTTTTCAACATAAACCACTTATCTACATGATGTTAAACACTGTCACTTATGGTCATTTTAGATACATGACACACATAATAGCAAACAGTTGTGGTATTTTTAATAAGTGTCAATCAACAAGTACTTTTTCAACATCTGCTCACCGGTGAACTGGTGTTTATGCATAGGTGTCAAGGAAACCTCTGTGATATCTCTGATTTATATCAACTCTATGTTTCTTCTGCGTATTTTGCCTACACTATTTTTCAGATATTCAGGAGAAAAACATAAAAATATTATTTTCAATACTAACTTAGAAATTGGAAAAGATTTTAAAAGCCCGTGCTGTTACTATTCAACAACATTGTTGTAAACTAATTTGTGTTTTCTGCATAATTCATATGTTAAGGCCCTAGACCCCAATGTGACTGTATTTGGAAACAGGGCTTTTAAGGAAGTAATTAAGGGTAAACGAGGACATTAGGATGGGGCCCTAATCCAACAGGACTGGTGTCTTTATGAGAAGAGGAAAAGATGCTAGAAATCTTTTTCTCTCTGCATGCATGCACAGAAAAAAGGTGGTGTGAGGTTGTCTGCAAGCGAAGTAGAGAGCCTCACCAGGAACCACCTTGCTGGCACCTCGATTTTGGACTTGCATCCTCCAGAGCTGTGAGAAAATACATTTCTGTTGTTTAAACTACCCAGTCTGTGGGTTTTGCTATGGCAGTCCAAGAAGACCAATACAAACATGAAAGCATTTTTAGCCAATTCAATACAAAAATAAGATGAAATAATGAAAAGTAAAAATTGGAAACTCTCCTTGATTTCAAATTATACGATTATCTACCCAGATTATCTACTAAAAATTCAGTGAAATCAAGTGGTGGATGATTAGAATTAACAAAAGTTTACCAAATTGACCAAATTTCAGGGAAACTATTTTCAGTACTAATTTTCTTAGGACAAGAGCAAAAATAAATTTTGAAATGTGTCAAAATGTAAATAGCTTAAAAAACTATGAAATACTGAGGGCAAAACTGGAGAATAAATGTGCAACACATTTAAAAAGAAAACTACAAAACTGTACTGAAGAAGTGTGAATAAATGAAAAGGCATATCATTATCCTCACCAGCAAGATTCAATGTTGTTAAACATTCAATTGATGGCAAAATTCATGTGTAAAATCAGTGTAATCCTAATTAAATTCAAAATGACCCTTCATGAAATTTTAAGACATATTCTGAAAGTAGTTTGGGAGAGAAAATATTCAAGAACATTTGACAAATTTTGGGGAAAAAACTTGACACTTTACCAATGCCAAAATGTACCATGAAGCTGTAGCAATTGTGGTATTGTGGTCGACATTTTGTTACTGATCTAGTAACAGGCAAACCAATCCATAGAATGGGATAGAGAGAGTTGAAGCAGATTAGATTAATATAGAATAAAGGCACATTTCAAATCAGTGAAAAAAGGTGAATTACTCATTGAATGGTGTTCAGGATCATTGGCTATTTATTTGGTGAAAATTAAATACCCTATTCCACACTATACAGTAGTTTCCCCTTATCCTAATAGGATATATTCCAAGAACCCAAGTGGATGCCTGAAGCTGAAGATAGTACCAAACCCTATAGACAGTATGCACGAATTTCTCGTTCCTTCTTCACAGTTTCACAGCTAGAAAATTGTTCTTATTGTAGATCTTAGCCACCTCTGCATACGATTTTTTTTTCTTTCCTTCTTATGCCAATAACTTTCACCTTTTCACCTAAAGGAAGCACTTTATGGTTTCTCTTTGGGATATTTCAATGACCAGCGTCATTACTCTTGTGGCTTTGGAGCCATAATGAAGTCAGCTAAAGGTGACTTGAATACAAGCACTGTGATGCCGCAACCATCAATCTGTTAACCAAGGCTGCTGCAGAGTGACTAATGAGCACGTAGACAGCACGGAGATGCTGGACAGAGGGAGGATTCAAGGAGAGAGAGGCAGGACCCAGAGACTTCATCATGCTACTCACCCGGGCACGCAATTGAAAAACCTAATTGCTTATTTCTGGAATTTTCCATATGTCCTATGTTCAGACCACAGTTGACTAGTGGAACAGAAACTGTGGAAAGTGAAAACACAGACAAGAGGGGACTAATGTAGGCTGGGTGCGGTGGCTCACGCCTGTAATCCCAGCACTTTGGGAGACCGAGGCGGGTGGATCACCTGAAGTCGGGAGTTGCAGATCAGCCTGGCTAACATGGTGAAACCCCATCTCCACTAAATAGACAAAATTAGCTGGGCGTGGTGGCGCATGCCTGTAATCCCAGCTACTCGGGAGGCTGATGCAGCAGAATCGCTTGAACCCGGGAAGCGGAGGTGCGGAGGTTGAAGTGAGCCGGGATCACACCACTGTACTCCAGCCTGGGCAAAGGAGTAGTGAGAATCTGTCTCCAAGAGAAAAAAACAAAAACAAAAAAACAGGGGACTACTGTAAATTAAAGTAAATTCCAGAAGATCAATAAACTAAACCTGATTCTCACACACACACACACACACACACACACACACACACACACAGAGTATTATATTTATTTTAAAATTCTGTGTACATTATGCTGTTTTGAGATCTTAAAAAAAATCTTTGTGGCTGGAGAAAGACCGTTCCTCCCAGGGCTAGTCGCGCTTAGAGATAGCAAGGTCTCAGCCTGGAGCACGCCTGCGATGACAAACTAAGTAGGGCAGGGCCATAACTCCTCTATCTGGCCCCTAAGCCCCAGGAGGCAAAATCCCTCGCCTGAAACATCCCAGGACCAGCTGCCAAGCAACTAGGAACCACCTCCACAGCCCCAAACCTTCCACAAGTATTCACATTAGCCACTCCTAAACTGTTCACCCTGCCCTGCCTTGCCCTTCCCCATAAAACCCCCTAAAGGGGGTGGACTAGATCTTCTCTTTGCTCCTGTCTTCCACCTCCTGACCACCCTGGTGCCTTTCCCACATGGTCCTCCTGTCTCCAGGACCTGTGAGTGTAGTACACTTTGTTTTTCCCTGTGCCACTCCTGTGTCTCCTCTTGAGGTCACACCTGGCTGATCATCACATAAAAGAAGACAAAGTACACATATACAGACACACAGACACTTACATAAAATCCTGTATTAGAAAAAAATTGAGCAAAAGTTTTTATAGGAAAATTGCTCTAGAGCAAAACTTAAAATAGGGATGACAATAAGGAAAAG